TGAAATATGTGTCCACACATCAGTTGGAAGCATGTGGTGAAAGATAGAGGGTTTTCAACTTTCTGAAATCTCCTCATGGTCACATCTTTGTCTATTGATCACAATGTAGAAAACGCTTTATCGCGGTTGTGTTTCTCATTTATTTTCAAACGTTTCAGAGATTCAGAAATAAAATTGATAAAATGTGAACCGATTCAAGACTTATATCCGGATTTGCACTAGTCCGTACGGACTAGTGCCTTACAAAATCTGCTAGTCCGACACAATTTTTGCTAGTCTCGGACTTACGGACATGAGTTAATTTCGAACCCTGGGACCTTTGAAGATAAATTGTGGACTGAATCAGTAACAGTGATTTTTTCCATACTACTGTGATTTATAAATACTGTTTGCATCAATTTCAATATAACTTGTGCCTGTGTTTTTAATCATTAGGATATACAAGCATACTCGGAAATAAATTTGTGACATCAATTTTCATCAAGTACTTTGTGATAATTGCATCTTGGAAATCAGAAACAGGCTATAGACAGAGTTATCCTTCCTAATGGTAATATTATTTTCTTTACTCTAATTGGATTACCTCTCTTGAATCACAGATTGCTGCTTTAGGTAGGTAGGGTTATCACGTGAATATCTGAGATTTTACAAAGCAACCAATAGTATTTCGTTTTACATAACTAATTGTTTGCAGAAAGGAAAGTAAAAATAGCTTTTTTGGCTCTCATATCTTCTCTTTAATTTTTAGGAAGAAATGCTAAACCATTGTCTCATAATACAGCACGGTATCTCGAACCCGATGATAAACAATAGGCCCATGGGTCACACCACTCACCTGAGTCACCGTTAAAACTCTGCCATAATATAATTATTGAATCAACACTAAAACCGAGAATTTTTGCAAAGTAAATATTATAATTCATGGAATTTTATGCAATTCAAGTTAATAAATACTTGTAACACTAACCTTTCCTCCCGTTATTTAAAATCATTGGCGTCGGAAGCAAATTGAAAGGGGGGGGGGTAATGAAAAAAAAAATTAAGACCTACAGAACAACCTGACGAGCATAGAAAAGGAAAATATGTACGTTGTCCAATCAAGAAAATCCCATTTCGTGGGCGGGGTGGGTTAGTTTAGCTTCTTAGGACTTTTTTCAGTACCAAATTTTATTCCTACACCCCCCCCCCCCACCCCACGGGCTTAAGACGCCTATGAAAATACATTTGTAATAAATACTTTTAAATTCAAGTGTTAAAAGATATATATATATATATATATATATATATATATATATATATATATATATATATATATATATATATATATATATATATATATATATATATATATATATATAAAGCACTAAAAATGACCAACGACACGAACAATAAAAATTGTCAAATTTTCGGACGCCCTGTCCCTTCCTCAGGACAAAGAAAAAAGTTAACAAGTCATAAGAACAAAGGAAAAATAGAAACAAAAACAACTAGCACTACTACTAAGCTACTAAACACTAGATATTTACATACTTAATAAATTACATGTTGAATTCGAAATTTTTAAAAACAACAATAAAGAAAGAAATCCGGACCGCTATGAAATGCGTCCGGTCTATCGGGTATACTCGGGTGAAGTGCGATTTACATAATTGAACGAATTAATTATGCTAATTAATTACGACAATCAGTAAATCGTACATTGTTTCATTCTCTCAAAATGGCGTAACTTTACTTAATAAAGAATAATCAAAGAAAAATAAGATGGCAGGGATATTTAAACATATGAATTATGATCCATTATAAATTTTGAAATATTTAAAGACTTAATACCGGGAAAAAATAATTAACAAAGGCGAAAGCAATACATAGCTATGTGGGTTGTTCGAGAGTTGGTGACGCAAATTGACTATAGAGTTTACACTAAATTGAGAGAATAATCTTGTTTAGTATCGTCAGGAATTGGGTCTAGTTTACGTTCATTCTGGTGAAGTCATTTAGTTTGTTAATACCATTAGGGCGGAATGACTTCAATCTGTGCATCCAGAACTTTTCTTTGCTTTTTCTCTGAGCATCTGTCCATCTTGGGTTATGGTCAATCATCACTACTGTCAAATCCTCCCATTTGTGACCCTCAATGTTGAAATGTTCCCCAAAGGGTTCATTGAGTTTTTTGGTCCTAATGGTCGAACGGTGGTTATTGACTCTCCTGCGGAGATCTCCTGTTTCACCAATATACTGTTTGGAGCAAACTTTGCAACTGATGAGATAAATGCAGTTGTCAGTATGACAGGACAAATTCCCTAGTATTTTGTAGCTGCGGCCTGTAACGGGGCTGTTAAAACTGTCTGTGTCAGTACTGTGCTTACAAAGAAGACATCTTCTGTCAGAGCAAGTTTTAAAGCCCCCGTTAGGTAATGGGTTGTCCAGTCTGGTTCTTACTACCATGTCCTTCAGGTTCCTTGGGCGTCTGTATGCAGCCAATGGGGGTTCCTTAAAGACCTCTGCCATTCGTTTGTTTGAATGGAGAATTGGTAGGTTCTTTTGAAGGATACCGCTTAGGTTCTTAAGGACGGGATGGTATGTGGTAACCAGAGGGACCCTACCGCTATTGTCTTTCTCCTTGTAGCGTAATAGGTTTTGCCTGTCATGTCCTGCCATCTCATCAATAGCTGTTTGTACGGTGCGGGCATTGTAGCCTCTTTTGCATAAGTGGGACTTAAGAAGACCACTTTGCTCCTGATATAAGGCAGGGGACGAACAGATGCGTCGAATTCTGGTGGCTAGACCCTTAGGCACTCCCCTTAAAAGTGTGTGGGGGATGACAGCTAGAGGGCATAAGATATAGGTGGGAGTCTGTGGGTTTGGTGTGGAGACTGAATTCGATTTCACCATCAATCAGGGTAGATGTAGTATCTAGGAATACGTTTTTCGAATTAGATACGTCTACTGTAAATTTGATCGACTGATGAAAGGTGTTGGCAAACGTAATGAATGCCTCGAGGCTCTCGCGACATTCCACCCACTTCATCTCTATATCGTCAATGAAACGCAACCAGCTATGGGGCCTAAAAGGTGCTTGAAGTAACAAGTTGCGTTCCAGTCTGCCCATGAAGACATTGGCATAAGACGGTGCCATTTTCGTTACTTCAAGCACCTTTTAATTTTCCCGTTAATTTCTGATCATGACATGGAATACACGGCGGGTGTGACCGGTCGTTAGGGGATGCTTACTCCTCCATGGCACCTGATCCCACCTCTGATGTTTCGGAAGTCCGTGTTTGCTCTGCTCTTATTTTGTATTGTTTTATGGACTTTGAGATTTAATACTGTTCGTTACCTCCATATCCTTCATTAAACAAAGTAGTTAAGTGTTAAAGGGGCATTTCGGGAATTTCTTAGGACATTTTGGTAAATAAGCGGCTTTTAATTATAATATATTTCAGAAAAAATTATAAACACGTGAGCATGGTAAAATCTCAAGAACTTAACACTGACAAATCTGCGTTTTCGAAAGGGGAAATTGTCAAACTAATCCCTGTTGAGATTCTGCTAGGCTAGATATTTGGAGTGACGCTGTCGCAGAATCCCTGGACGACTACTAATAATTCATGTCTGGAGATTAAGTCCCAACTTTGGTCGGTTATTGCAAGAATTATTCGTCTAGACCACACTGAAACCACACACTGAGACCAGAAACTCTGTGGGAAAAAAAAACTTCAAGTCCCCGATATCTCTAATCCTTGAATACCTCCCTTGGTATTTCAGAATTCAAAATATCGAGGATAAAAGACTTAAATTTAACAATAAATAGTTGGAACACCTTCCTTATATTCTTCAACATTAAGGGTTCCATGTTCGTTCGCCCTAAAAATTGTTCTCCCGATTTCCCGTTCGCCCAGAGTCCGCTCCTATGATTTTTATAACCAGAGAGATCGAGCGCTTGCTGTGATCGGAAGGCCGTGAGTTCGAACGGTAACGGGTTCGTTCGCCCGAACTTCCTGTTCGCGGGAGTCCGTTCGCCCTCAATATTTTCGCCCAATATCTTGTTCGCCCTCTATGTGGTTCGCCCAATACTCATATATTCTTGTATATTTAAACTCAATGAATTAAACAATAACATAATTATTTTTTTTATTTATTTCCTTTGTGAACTTGGGATAATTTTTTCTCAAGTTCTGATACGAGGAACAATGTCATAATGTTTATTTAGTTTAATTTTTGATTTTATTCAAATGTTTTTGAATGACTTAGTGTTTGAACTTTACTATAGTTACATTGTTATTAGATGATTAATATGATTAATATCAAAGTTAATAATTAGAGGGATACATCCCTATTATTTTTACGAATTGCGCTATGTTTTGCAAACAATTAAAGGACTGGGATGTTAATAGGTCCATTAAAGAACTGAACAGCGGATGTTGAAGGTTTTACCTTTGAAGAATCTGCTTTTGATCAAATAAAAAATGATTAAAAGGAATTAAACAAAAATGATTAATGTACTTAAAGTCAGATCTTTGATAGGTCATGTATTTAGTGTGATATAACGTCTGACAGTCTGTTTTATTTTGAATGTACCAAAAATTTCGAAAGAAATTCATTAGATTTCATTCCGCATTAAACAAGGGCGAACAAGTTTATGGGCCAGCGGACTCTGGGCGAACGGGGAATCGGGCGAACAATTTTAGGGCAAACGAACATGGAACCAGTTCGAGTTCAAACCAGTAAATATAACGATTAGCAGTAACAAATGTTTTATTTCAAGTTAATTAACACATTTTTTAAATTCATCGAAAAAAAAAAAAACACGTGAAGATTATTTTGAAAATAAGGACACTATAATTAAACTATTTTTTATTTAAATATTGAAAAAAATACATTAAAACAGTTTGACAAGTTTCAATTAATCATTCTTCTTATATCAAAGAAATAAAATAAATTGTACTTGTTAACCTTGTTTGATTTAATTTATAAAAAAAACATACACAGTCACACTGATATTAAGTTTTTTTGTGTATTTTCAACATGTGCCTCTTCAAGGATTTTTTATGCATCACCATATTACACATTTCACAAGTTACTTTCATCTTTCCTGTATGGAGGGCAATGTGACGCCTATACGTTGAGCTGCAGGAGAATGACTTTCCACAAGTGTCACATATCATTCGTCCATCGGGAGTTTTCTTGACTTTCTTCTTACGTTCATGCTTGTTTATTTTGTGCTTTTCATAGGGCGACTTTTTACAAAAGCCTTTGCCACAAAATTCGCAAACATAGGGAATGTCTGCAATGTCGGATCTTTCTTTCGTGCTCACATTATCATGGATCCTGTGTCTTATCTGATGAAGTCGCAATGACGACCCCCACTTGATGAATTTCCCACAGATCTCGCACAGTCTTTTTCTTGAGGAATTGTGGGTATCCATGTGTCGACTTCTGGCCATCTGACTATAAAATCTTCTCCCACAAGTTTCACAGGGATATGGCCTTTCACCACTGTGTAGTCTCATGTGGTCTTCCAGCTTCCACTTCCTCTTCAAAATCTTTCCACAAACATCACATGGAAACCTCTCAGGCTCACGTTTTTTCTGATATTTTTTAAGATGGTATTTTGAATTGTTTGTTTTAAGACATTTATCACAGGCTAATTGTTTATTTCTTGTGTAAGAGAGTCTAAGGAAAGAGGATAAAGCATTAGCTTTACCACAAAAATTACATTTCTGTGATTTAACAGTGTTGTTTGACTGTTTCAGATGCAAATCATCTGAAGATTTTTTCTCATGGTTTTTTGCACAATCCACAGAATCATAGGATTTATTCACCCTCTTCACAGATGTCTTTTGACTAAATCTCACAGAACCTGGATGCACTGCAGCCCCTTTTTTATTTTGCCCAATCATGACTATGATTGTTTTTGGCTTGTTTCCTATTTCCTTATGTTTGCTATTTCTTTCCTCTTTGTCATGTTCATGCTGAGCAGATGCCTCTACATTTGTAATTTTTCTTCCATAATTATCATATTCAGGTATTTTCTTGCCACATTTCTTAAATGAAAAAAAAAAATAAATAAATAAAGCATAGCTTATTTGTCTAAAAATATTTCATGAAACATGTGAAACAGTGAAAGTATTAGATCTATAATCACTCACAAAAGTAAATTCATCTATATTATCCAGGAAATGGCAAGATGTCATTATTATTATTTTTTTTTTACTAATTCCTTATTATATACATGTATCTTTCCTTCATAGAAGACCTTTCATTTGACTATAATTCAAACTGAAACCCCTTCACCAAGGATACTTTGTGGCTAAAGCTTAATTAATGGTTAAAATCAATCCAAGTGATTCTTGAAAAGAAGTCAATTATAAAAAGTTTACAATTGACGAAGAACTTTGTTGACCATCTTTCAAGGGAAAAAGTAATTAAATCTACTTTTAAACTACCTGTTATCTGATATGATTTTTTTCTCTTCACCCCAATTATGGTAGATTTTTAGACACCTGTTTACACCCACCTTACCTGTAATGCCTCTAGGCTATTTCCAACCCTTTCATCTTCTCCTATAGGGGTGGTAGGCTGGATTTCATTTTCCACTAGGTTTTCCTCCACTTTTACTTGAACTCTTTCCAATTCTGGCAATGAATCTTGCTCCTGAACTGGTTGAAAAATGACTTGAAAGCTCTGTTCTGTAACCTCTACATCTGCTGGTAATACTATTTTTGAGGTGTTCTCAGGTGATGTTTTGTTCTCGGACTCTGTGCCTTGTGTGGGCCTAAAGTTGACTGTTGTGGAATTTTTCTGGGGTGCAGGCCTAATTGGTGTCAATTTTATCTTGAAACACTTTTTGGTTACGGCCAGATTTGCAGCACTGTTTGGTACCAACAAGAGTGGGGCCACTGCATTAGGAACATTTAAAACTTGTTTCAGAAGCCCTGGTGTCTGCACATTTACACAATGATTAAGAGCACCTTCAGGTACACCACTGTTCAGAATTTTTAAGTTGTTGACTGTTGTATTATTTATAACATTTGAGTTGGAGACAGTAACAGCAGAATTTTGGTAAAACGACATGGTAACTGGTGCAATATCAGTACTGTGATTGAGATTGGGATTGGATAAGGTGGTAGTTTTGGTATCAGCTTCTGTCATATGATTTTCAGCATTTTGGGCATTGTTTTTTGAGGGAAACATTATATTGTTTGGAACTTGCACCATATTACACAGATTGTTCACAGGATAAATGACAAAAGGAAATCTAAGCTGTGAAAGGTTGTTCATGTTCACAGTAGGAAGACTGGACTGATGCACTCCAAGGCTGTTAATGTTCATAGGAGGCCTGTTAATATTCATAGGAGGCAGAAAGAGCTGCTGTGATACATGGCTGTTTGTGTTCATAGTAGGCTGTGATGGATGTTGAACTCCAAGATTGTTCATGTTAACATGAGCTGAGAGCCTGTGATGATGACTGTTGTATCCAAGGACTGCTTGACATGTTCAAGTAAGGTTGACAGGACTACTTGATCCTGAGGGTGTTCACGTTCACATCAGTCTGAGCGAACTGCTTGGTTAGAAGGCTTTTCATATTCCTTCTACAAGTATCTGTAGGAAGAGAAAATGGGATCCTTGGGCTCCCTATGGTCTCTAAATGTATTGATCACTTTATATATCTGTAAAATATAAAAAAATAAGTTGCCTGCACTTATATTGTTCAATAAATAAATGGCAGCAAAAAAGATTTACTGGATAAAAAAAAATGGTACTACATGAATTAATTATCACTTCAAGTTTGAGATGTCTGTTGTGACTTTTGAAACACTCAGACTATTATACATTCTTCGTGGCACAATCAAATCGATGTGCCACACCATGTGGCTAGATCATGTTGATGTTAACTAGAATCCATTTTTATAACATCAATTTTGTCTTTGTCATTTTATTTCTTTAACATCTGTTAAAAAAGAAAAGAAGAAAAGCAAAAATGAATAGGAGCGGAATAGTATGATATTGCACTATAAAATATGGTGATATGATATGATTTCTCAATTGCGATACCCAGCATTATGTACTGTAGATTTGTATAAGTATAATTAATACAGAGAACATCATCTAATCATGCTAATTTAATCGAGAAACTAGGCACCAATGGTTCCAAAGAAATTGGCCATATTTGACCTGGATTAGAAATTTTAAATAAATGATTTTCATCAGTTGTTATTATGAAAGGGACTTTTTTTTTTACATTGTATTATGCAAGATTTCAGAATACACATCATCAGTATTAGTTAAGTTTCACTGTATGTGTAAAATATTGTCTGGAAACTGGTTGTTATATAAATCTGTTACAAGATGTCTACCGGGTACCCATGGGCCATAATTTAATCCCCCCTCCAAGGTTCTTTAAATCTCAACAAACAAATTTTCCAGTCAGCGAGCAGAGTTCTGATGTCTGATAAATGAAAATTTCCTGCAATGATCTTATAATCAGATAACGTTACTAACGTTGTTATCCCTCGATCTCTTTTTTTTTCCTTCAGAGAATATCAGCATCGGAGCACAGGGACTTGCTCCTGGCGTGTAAAAAATATCTAATAAAAAAAAAAACGATAGGCCTATACTATAAAACACGGTGTAGTTTTATAGTATAGGTCTATCGTTTTTTTTTTATTACCGGCCGCCAGGAGGCGGTCGGTTATATGATATGAAAGTTTTAAGTCGCCGTGCGTTTCTGCGGAGTTAGAACAATTTGAATAAAAAATATTTAACATTCATGTAATATAGAATATTAAGAAAGATTTTTTAAATGTTAAACAAAAACGCACAATAATCATAAAATTAAAATTTATAAATAATGGGTTAAATGTTTCATCCAATCCTGATTGACAAACTCCGACGTAACTGAAGTGCGGAGAAAAAAGCACACATGTTGGGCATAGTCTAAAGCAAGGGCAGCGTTATATACATGTATAAACAAATTTACTTTTTCTACTTCAACAGGATTTGTTGTATATATATATATAATTTAAAATGACGTGTAAATATAAATATACAATGTGCTTTTAATACGGAAAGTTTTCAAAAATATGACTTAATCTTAGTTTATTAGCAGACAGAATATAAGGAGATTTTTCTCTAACAGACAAGGACAAAGCGCGTTTTACAATATGCCAAGCCTTTTCCCGCCACATCTCACACCAAAACAAGATAGAGAAAAAATGTAGTGGCGGATCTAGAGAGAATTTGGGGGTTTCAACATCCTCTGAGCGAGCGAGGAGCCTCACGTAGTTGTTACGTTTTATTTAAAGTTAAACTATCTCTAGTTAGATAAGTTTAAACGTTAGTTTTGATGGCTAAGTGTTAAAACTACTTAAACATCAAACTTCCGCCAGAGTTCGTTTGTACAAATGAAACTGAGTGTGGCCAGTGGGGACGCAGAGGACTATGAGTAAGTTGCTTATACACATTGTACTATGGAGGGTAATCGTGTTCAAAAATCCAGACTTGTAAATTTGTAAATGCAATCTTGTGAGTATGTAAATTTGTAAATGCAATCTCGTAAGTTTGTAAATCCAAACTTGTAATCGTATCAGTTTCATAGTATACATATGTATGTAGGTAATTCAGATTTCCAAGCATGTACTTCTGAAATTACAACTGTGTTGACTTTAAGTTCAAATTATGAATGTGTGTATCTTTGAAATTGTAAACTTTGTTTTCCGGAATTAATATTTCCGCGCACTGAATAAAACACAAAGACAATTCACAACTCTACATATGTAAAGTCTACATGTTTGTCGAATTTTGATTACGAGAAACTATGGAGGGCCATCAGTGCCGCAATTCATTTTTAATTTTTTTTTTAATTTTTATTATAACTTCTTGTTTTCCAAATACACGTAAATCATAACTTCATTTTTTATCCCTTATTTTAGTTCTAACTTCTTGTTTATTTTTTCCAGTTTTATTTTTTTTCCTTCATGGCCGTATGGGCTGGGGGGGGGGGGGGCATTTTGCCGATATACATATATATAAAATACTTTAGACAATATAGAAATTATATGCTTGTGCCCCCTCAATTTAAAAAGTCTGATGAATTCTTTTTATTTGGGAGATGTGGGGGAGAGGGTTAAGTTGATACTTAAAATAACTTTCCGGCCATGACTTACCAGGCTAACACCCAACCACTATAGGCAACTGTAATCAGTGTCCCAGTTTAGATCTTAATTATAATTGCATTAATATCATATTTTAAAAAAACATTCAGTAGATGAAGTTACGTGTAAATATTCCTCGGGGGAATGGGGGGGGGGTCCCCAAAAGAAATTGCAAACAAATATTGATTAAATAAACTGGTACATGTAAAACTTTCTCTGTAAAAGCGATGTTTGGGATCTTTCATTATATCTTTTCAGAAACTTTTTTTTCAACGCAAGAATTAGCCAGAGTTTGGTGAATATGCAAGAAAAAGTGTTTGGTACGAGGAATGCAGCCAATACTGCAATAGATGCATTTTCATATCAAAACATCTGCTCATGATTATTTTCCACACAAAAAGTGGAGAACCCAACATTTTGCCCCCTTTTCTACTTCGGTCCTAAGACTTGTTGAAGTGAAAAAAATTTCTCAGTCCTAATTTAAGGGGTCCCGACCCTCTGCTATCAAATTTCACTCAGAAAATTTAATATTTCTAATAATGATTTTCATGGACAACAATAACATTAGAGCCACATAGAAAATAGTTTGATGTAAGAAACGCAGCTTATTTTTTCAGAAATGATTTTTATGTCAGATCATGATATGAAGAAATTTCAACATAGAGAACAGAAACAGTAACAATTTATTATCATAACATTTAATTTGAAATATGAGTTGTATATGAAAATAATACTTAGTATAATACTTATTAAAATCATGTCAGAAAACATCATTAAGCAATGCTTTCTAAGTAAGAAAATTACAATGTTGTATGTAGTTGTAAGAAAAAATACATCTTTGAGGAGGAGTTATCTTTCTTCTAAAGATTTCTTCATATGAAAAAAATGTCATACTTATAAAAATTCTGTATTAAGTACTTGAAACATTAAACCATTATTAAAATAGTCTTTTAAAAAATATAACTTATTCAATTTAAAATGCTTTTGAAGTAGAATTTAAATGTTTTATTGTTAAATATAACAAAACAATTAGTCTGAGATTGGCAAAAGAAATAGAAAGTAATGTTTCCATCGCATGTCAGATTTCATCGAATTGTCTACTTAGAGGTCTAAATTAGGGAACTCTGATTAAGGAAACTGTGAGTAGTATTCATGTTTTGTACTCTGACTGTCTCTGAGAGTTATCTGTCATATCAGAGGGTCGGTACCCCTTAAAATCATGTTATATTAAAATAAACTGAAATATACAATATACGCATGCAATCAGGAAGGGGGTCATATTTATAATATTTGAAACATCATGCACCAGGGCCATTAATTAAACTTAGATGAGCTCACTGTTGATCACAGTCTCACTTTCACCAAAGGAACGACGCTCACGAGAATTTGTACTCGTATAGAGACGCCACCATTTGCCGGTGGAGAACTGCAAATTTTGTTCTATGCTCGTCACTTAGGGTCATACAACAGCGAGGGATCTTTTTCGTGCCACGTCCCAAACTTGGTTTACTACAGGAATTAGTAATGGAGAAACTGAATCAAAAGTGAGCTTATCTAGGTTTCATGGTCCCGGGCCGGAAGGGGGTGGGGAGCCAGCGTATTTTTTTTCCAATTACATGTAAATGAAAGTAATTTCCAATTGTCGATATATTCATAAGAAAAGAAATCAAGGCTAATTCATCGTTATATCCCCTGAACAGTAATGCCATTAGGGGGTCAAGAAATTTTTGTTTTGTGCCCAACCCAACCCCCATGAAATTGCCTCCAACAGGTCTGAAAAGGAGAGAAAACACACAAGAATAAAATCATATGGTTTTTAAAAAAATAAAACAAAATGCATGTTCCAGGGAAATATATCCTACATAGTCTACGACACGTAGACTTTTCGCGTAAGATCTCTGAACATGTAAAAAAAAAAAAAAGGCCGACGCGCTTCTTTTCTTTTAAATTTCATTCGGATTCCTTAGTTTAATTCTGTTGCGCACTGTAGTTCTACTCTTTTATTAAATCTTTTGATTCTTCTTATAATTTTATCCCAAAAAAGTAATAAGTTAGGAACGGTGAAACATAATTTAAAATATCAGATGAAATGAATATACGAAAGGATGCAAAAAAATAATAATAAAGAGTAGGTCCGTAGAAAGCACCTTCAGTTGGGGGGGGGGCAAAGCCACTTTTTACGTTGGGGACACTATATATCAACTACACCCCCTCCCATTAAAAAGAAGTCATCAGACTTTTTTTATTGAGGGGGAGAAAGCATGTATTAGCTATGTTTTCTATACACGTGTAGTATTCTTTATATCGGCAAAATCATTGGGGGATGTGCCATCCCCCCTCCCCGGATCCTGGAAAATATAAAGAAGAAGTTATATATAAAATAAGAAATAAAAAATGAAGTCGTTGGAATTAATTTAATTTGGAAAAAACGTTATAATAATATTTAAAAAATGAAACAAGTATATTCAAAAGAAATGGCACCGACACCCCTCCATAGTTTCTTGCAATCAAAATTCGACAAACATGTAGACTTTACATATGTGGAGTTGTGAATTGTCTTTGTGTTTTATTCAGAGCGCGGAAATATAAATTCCGGAAAACAAAGTTTACAACATCAAAGATACACACATTCATAATTTGAACTTAAAAGTCAACACGGTTGTATTTTCAGAACTACATGCTTGGATGTTTGAATTACCTACTTACACATGTATACTATGAAACTGATACGATGACAAGTTTCGATTTACAAACTTACGAGATTGCATTTACAAATTTACATACTTACAAGATTGCATTTACAAACTTACAAGTCTGGATTTTTGAACACGATTACCCTCCATATTGTACATGTAGCAATATTTGCATATCCACTGCTCTCTCTCTCACTATGAACATGTAGCCAGCAACTGCGTTCATAGGACTATAGACGCAAATGCCTCTGATATGAGTGCAATTGCTCTATCTCACTCTTGTAGAACAAGCTCTAATACACTTATTTCCCGTGTCGTGAAGTATATATATGAAATGTTTCGTAAAAGGACAAATATAAGTTTTTAATAGTATTTTTTGGAAAAAAAGGAATTCAGAACAATTTAAAATTGCTGTTTGATATCTTAAAAAATTTAATTTTGGTCAATGTATTTAATTGTAATTTAAAACTTTTTTAAAAATTGAATAGAAATCCATATTTTTATTTTTTCGTATCATGCATACTTGTAAAAAGAACGATAACTCTTCACACTTGGGTAATAACATACAAAGAGAGAAAATCTCTTTAACTAGTAGATCTTTCAAGAAAAAATAAATAGAAAAAATACCCAGAAAAGCATACTGGAGTATATACTCATTATAAAATCATTCTCATTTTTATCATAGTGTTAAGTAATTGATTTTTGTCAGAGGATTTCAATAACGTTGATCGATGACGTCACGACTACATCAAAACAAAAATTAAGAGAATGTGATGACGGCGCTGCTTGTATCCAGATAACTGTGTTTGAGAGGGAAATACTTTCAAAATTGTGATTTATTAGAGAAAAGGAGTATTGATTAGGTGTACTGATTTTAAAGCCGTATGTGTTTTCTTTACTGAAGACAGAAGAAGCTTCGTCCTTATGTAAGTCAAGATTTCCTCTGATATTCTTGACAACATCAAAGAATGCAAATATAAGTACAGTGCTTTAAGTAGTTTCGGATTTTAAGCAGTTCTGGATAATTTTCGTTTAAAAATGAAAATTAAACACACAAAATGGTTTCTGTTTTTTTGTGATTTTTTGTATAAACGAAATTGAATTTATTGTCTAAAATCTAGACGATAAAGCAAGATCATAAAGTCCCTCTCTCTTTCCATGTTAACAGCTTAATGTTTACTACCAGAAGCGCTTTATTTACGTTGAGTAGAAAAATTACATGCTGTTCCTAAAGTTGTAGGTGTTTTTTGAAACTTTTCATGGGTAGATATTTAATTCGTGAAGTGTGGATAAGACACTGGTGTTCCTTCTTTCTCAAGAATTTTGGGTTTTCTAATACTACGAAGCATCTCCAAAATAATGAGCAATCTTCACAACATCCGATTTTAAGTAGTTCTGGATTTACTACGGACGGTGTTTTCTCAAAGGACTAGTACACCATACAAGATTTTAAAAAAAAAATTAAAAAGGACAAAAATATAATTTAATTCTTCATTGAAATATTTGTAAATAATTAAATTGATTTTAAAAGGGCTGAGAAAGTGTATAGAAACATAAGTTCACTTCATGTTGCGATTAATTCATGTTTTCATTTTCAATAAATTTGCTAAACATCATGTTTTCTCCTTTATATTTTTATTCATATAATGCATATATAAATTACATGTTAAGGTCTCATTGTAGGGAATTCTCTACAATTTGATCATTTATAATGAATTTTGATACGATTTCAATTTAATAATCCCGATAAATGGCTATAACTGGAACTACTTGAAATTTTCGAAACTGCTTGAATTCCCTTATATCTAATGTACGAGAGTTTTATAATATAGTGTAACATTTTTAACAAAATGCCATTAGGGGTTGAAAAGGTAGGAAAAGGACTATTTGATTCAGTTTAGAAATCAACTTTAAGTCCTACGCAAACAATGCAGCGAGCGTTTTCCTAGTTGCAATCCGGAACTACTTAAAACACTGTAATAAACAACGATTATTTAGTGAACATGGTGTGATGAAAAGCAATAGCTCTGCTGGCATATTTTCCATGATGCGCTAGCGCGCATCATGGAATATGCCAGCAGAGCAATTGCTATTCATAACGCCATGTTCACTAAATAACGTTGTTTATTTCTTAAATGTACAGGTATTATGTACTGAAGAAAACCCTGGAATGTCGCATTCAAATGTTTAATGTCATAGGGATATATATTAACAAGTAAATAATATGTTGACGGTGCGACCGTTATGGCGAGCGCAGATGTTTATTTTGTTAGAATTTAAATCGGGCTCGTACGGCAAACTGCAAGTGACATTTCATGCGTCTAGACTCTGACGTCACATGACGTCGTATGAAACTTACATTTCCCACCAAAGAACCCTGAACAGTGCTGAAAATAAATGAAGAATTTTTCGTTTGCTATTTATCTTCAATATTTATCCATTAAATCAGGACAAGTTTAGTATTAGAAGAACTTTTTCTACTATTCTCACGAGAACGTAGCTTTAACGTAGCTTAAACAAGTGATGCATTGTGGCAATCTCCCATGCAGAGTTGTCGTTCGTTCCTCTCTCATACACCTCTGCGATGGGCTCACGTCAAGATTTTTGACATAACGTATAAAACGTGATATTTGAAGGATTGTTTCAATTTAATTTAATAGTCTTGTATTGATTTAGTCAATATCTATCTCAAAAATCAGACATAATCATAGAAATTGAATTATTATGAATGAAAACAAACGCACTATTTCTCGTGTTTAACACTGCGTATACGCGAGCCAACGACAGAGGTGAATGTATGAGCCGATGGTAGAGAGTGGCATTGTGGGTCCAAATTACGGCATCAAAAAATTCTATCGAATGAATGTGCAATAGTCCGAATTTTCTCTTCGCACAGGCGTTGCTTTAAGAGCTCGCAGTGACGAGCGTCGCTTCGCGACGCTCGCTGCGCTCGCTATAAGAATTTAGTTTCTAATTGTATAATGAAAGAATTAATAAATTGGTTTGCGGCCGATTTTTGACGCTCGCGTCAATATGTTTCTTGTTAGATATTTTTTACACGCCAGGAGCAAGTCCCTGTGATCGGAGGGGGCTACATTATTGCAGTTATAAGAAAAACACTTGCATGCCATATATGGTTTTCTTGATAATTATCTACTTACTTACTTTTCGACGCAAAACGATAATTTTGGCGTTTCGATGCTTCAATTTATTTACACTTATCTTTTTTATTTACAGATTCTACATTTTTAGCATTTCGAACCCGATGATTAAAAAATTTAAAAGCGAAATTATGTGTAACTACATGCAGCTCTATAGGCTTATACGTAGGCTTCATGCTTAGGCCTATTACTCTTCAAAAAAGTCTGATATATAAATTAATATATATAATTATAACAGTAACTTGATCCGAAGGGTCGTATCACGTCGAGTTGACAGGCGCAGATCATCAGATCTAACAAGACGCGAAGCGTCGAGTTTGATCTGATGATCCGCGCCTGTCAACGAGACGTGATACGGCTCTTCGGATCAAGTTACTGTTATAATGATAAATTTATTATATACCCCCTTATAACTAGCTATATATAGCAGAATAAAACTTTGGAGATCAATTGTATAATATTTATCCATAAAACAAAGCATAATAACAAGGGACTTTTAAACGCGCAAGAAAAATAACGTCATGTTTTTGTGTACTACGTCATCAGTTTCAGAGAGTGGTGATCCGGAAAATCGGATGAAACTCGGTAAAATTAACACCATACTCCCCGTCGTGGCCTCATCTACAGAGAGACCAAACCAACTCTGGCGGAAGTTTGAAATTAACACTAACAAAAACAAGGAAATTGATGGGTATATAATAAAAGTATGTAGCAGATTTCTGGCCGCATTCGAAAAGTAAGAAATATAAATTTGCTGAATTGGTCGTTGCAATGATAATTTTACCATTCTAATGACCGATACACTCGGTTAATATAATTTTTCAGGCAAGAATAACATGCATTGATAAATCATATTTGGAAAGAGGACGATATGTCACATATCTAGGCATCCTTGTCATTCCAAAATTAGGGGATGTGTAAAATTAAAATTCTTATTTAGATCCAGGTTAATTCCATTAAAAAAAAATACTTTTTACATCAAAATGGAAAGATAAACTTTTTTTAAAATTGAAAATGCTCACGAAAATGTCTTATATTTCATAAAGTAACATATGTATATACTTATATATTTACATTTCCAATGTCTTTGTTCGAGATAAAATTCCAATTGTAAATGTAATTCAGATTTCCTCATGAATGTTTTGACGCGGTTCCAAAAAAAACACGTGCAGGGCGGGACAACACCTTGAGAGAAGCAGGCTTGGAGCCCGTGGATTGGCGGAATCAAAGCATGTAAATATAAGGAATAACTGTCTTATTTTTCGAATTCATGAAGATGATCAATGGATTGGCTTGTGTGATAATTTTATGAATAAACGCCTTCGGCGTTTATGCAAATTATCACACAAGCCAATCCATTGATCACTTCATGAATTCGAAAAATAAGACAGTTATTCCTTAAATATAACATTTCTTAAAATTTAAATTTTAAGTTCATTCTTTAAGTTAATCACATCTTATATAGTAAATGAAATCTCAAATATATTTTCAGCAAATGAGAATAAAAGCACCGGTTTATGCATCTTCTACTTTGGGATCCACATGATAAAAAGAATTTTAAAAAACATTCAAATACGTGTGCACTATAAACAGATACGTGGGGGTATTTAAAGAAAAGGTGAAGGTCTTCGAAGGACGCCATAGAAGGTATAGAAAGCATTAATTATCTCTCAGATGACGATTAACTATAAAACGGACATGATTTCAGAGATGTAGAGAGATTATTACAAGAGGTAAAATTTTACATGTATCTGATTATTAGTCCCCTACCGGTGAAACCGGAGGGGACTATAGGTTTCCTCTGCGTCTGTCCATCCGTCTGTCTGTCTGTCTGTCTGTCTGTCCGTCCGTCTGTCTGTCTGTCCCCGTCTGTCTGTCAGTCTGTCCCACTTGGTTTTCCACACTTTTTTTCTAAACGCTGGCAGATATTGAGCTGATTTTTGGTACATGGGTGTATCTTGATGAGTTACAGATCAAGTTTGAATATCGTTCCGATTCAATGATTTTTTACGGAATTACGGCCTTTTCAATTTTTCAGGGTTTTCCGCACTTTTCTCCTAAACGCTTGCAGATATTGAGCTGGTTTTAAGTATAAGACTTTACCTTAATTAGTTATAGATCAAGTTTGCATTTCGTTCTGCTTAATTGAATTTTGAAGGATTTACGGTATTTTTATTTTTTTACATTTATAATTGGGTTAAATATAGGGTTCGTGATGCACTACATTTATGTCTTGATGCACTCAATTTATGTTCTAAACGAGATTGTCATGAATTGAAACTTGCTGGATAGATTTTATAAATTGATTAATTATAGATCAAGTTTGCATTTCGTTCTACTTCATTGATTTCTGAAGGAATTGTGGTATTTTTATTTTTTTAATAATTGGGTTCACAATAGGGTTCATGATGCACTAAATTAATGTCGTGATGTACTACTGGATCAATCGGCAATCTTCGGCTGACTCCGCGCTACGCTCCATTCAATTCATTATGTGCGAGGTATGAGTCATCCTAGGAACTCCGAGTGCTATACTGGATTAATGTATCTAATCTGAAACTTCCTGGATCCCTTTATAGTGACAAATATAGATCAAATTTTTTTCTGGTATAAAATTGTTGTTCAACCATGTAAAATAAGCTGTTCTGATCAAAGCATTTGTGTGTGTCAAATGGCATTCAAAGACGTCACGAGTCTTTCTTTGTAGGCAGATCCAAACATTTCATTCATATTCAAGTAATAACTGAAATGTCCATATTTAGTTAACAATTTTTCATACACAGGCTCTAATAAAATGACACCCGAAAGAGAAAAGGGGAACCCGGTAGGGGACATGTATTGCTTATGCAATACTCTCAGAATGCTTGTTTTATCTGACAGAATGACATTTTTACGATTATAATAAAAATCTAGTTTCGTTTTAAGGTGAAATATCCCTCTGCTCCAAATATCACTGACATTTTTTTGTTGTTTTGATTTTCATAAACTAGAATGAAATAATATTCAAATGGAAAATATTTTGAAGTATGAAGCTTTGCTTACATTTTCAGTAATGAATATGATGTCTAATCATGATATGAGGCAAATTTGATAACGGACTACATATATAAAGATTAAAATCATGTTTATCTCACAAAAAATAAATATATAGAAAAGTAGCATTGCTGTTTTTTTTTACAATTTGAAATTAAAAAAAATTAATTTTTTAACTGCTGTTCATATTGACAGCAAGGCTGTTTCTGAATTTTAATATTTCGTTAAACTTTGAAACTGATTCGAAATAAAAATTTAATTCATTATAATTGTTTCGTCTCGTTATTTGCATTTACAATTTCTCAGCGACACTACGTTTCTGAATTATCGTAATAAAGAAGATGATGATTATTTTGATAGCATATAGGCACCATAAGATTAATTATAAATCAATTATCACCTTGCAGAATAAGTATCACCTGAATAAACATCCCGTTTCACGAGACCCGCGTCTTCTGCCCGGGGTCAATAAATGCATATGTCCAGGTAAAGTTGCTAATTATGTAACTTTGTATACACATAGCCACTTCGAGGTATCAAGGGTGAATTTTAATAGAATATGAACAGCGGGACTGCAATTTTACTTCGAGAGATCAAGGGTTTCGAGAGATCAAGAGTTCGAGAAATCGAGAGTAAATTTGCTTAGTTATATAGGGAAAAAATTCGGGACCGGAGACTCACTTCGAGCGATCAAGAACTTCGAGAGATCGAAGTTCGAGCCATCAAGAGTTACCTGTATTTTTATCTTTGATTTTATTTTTCATGAATCTAAAAAATAATAAAAAAAAATTGTCATCAAAGTAAATTAACTCCATTTTAACTTCATTGAAACAGCAGAATATTCTGATGTTTTTTTTTAATTTAAGATTTTGCTCTAAAGACTGCATGCACTTGTTCAGTAGTACAACAAATATGCTAGAATAACTGCCGAATGAATAAAAATATAAATTGATTGATGAATAGAATATTTTTGCTCCCTTGAAGGAAAATAAACTATAAAATCTATTCTACTTTCTAGATATATATTTATTTTTAACCAAATCTCTTTCTTTTGTACACAAACATCTAAGGAATAATTCAAGAGGTAATGCCAGATTTGGACTATAAATATGTTGCCAACACTTAATGATTTTTTTTAGTTTTATTTGGTTTTCATTTTTTCTGCAGTTAAATAAACAATCAAAAGCCATATTTTACGAATGAACCAGAGAAGAAAGTCGGTTAATATTAATATCTAAATTATTGACATTGAAGATACTATTTTGAAGCATCAAACACTTTAACTTCTTTGGATAATGTACGTTACATGTCTTTTAGGATGTAATGATTTTTTTTTAGGTCACCTGAGTCAGTCAGGTGACCTATTGCTATCCGTTTTCGTCCGTCGTCGTGCGTCTTGTATCGTGTGTCGTGTGTTTTAAAACATTTTATCAGGGCTCTATTAATAAAAAGTGAAAATACATTAATTCTTTGAAAATTCCTTTTCTGCTCCTGGGTATTAAATAAACAAACAAAGTATATAGTTATAATAAGCAAGAGTGCCTCAAACAAATTGTGAATTTTATGCCCCCCCCAGGTCAGGAGTTTTGCCATTTGGTGTTTTGAAAATGTTTTCCTTTGCTCCTAGGTATTCTGCCAATGATCTAAGTATTGATATTTATGACAAAGAAAGGTGCATCTAGCAAAATAGTTACTTTCATGCCCCCCTGGGTCTGAGTATATTGGGGGTCGGGGTGTTCGGGGGGGGGGGGGTTACATAGTCTTAAAATAAATTAATGTTTTGAAATCTGCTCTTTGGTATTAATCACCATTTATGATAAAATTTCATATTTTTTTAATATTTGGCCCCAGGGTCAGTTGTTTCTGTCGGATGGGGTGCACAACTGGTTATAAAGTGGAAGTGCATTTTCTCTTTGTTACTCTGATCTACCTCTTGGTATTAAGTAATAAGTAAGCATGCTAAGTGTATATTTAAGAAATAAACAACGTTATTTAGTTAACATGGCGTTATGAATAGCAATTGCTCTGCTGGCATAATAAATAATCGTTGTTTATTACTTATATTTGCATTCTTTGATGTTATCAAGCATATCAGGTGAAATCCTGGCTTACATAAGGATGTGGCTTGTTTGTCTTCAGTAAAGAAAAACACACGCCTATAAAATTAATTTACCTGATCAATGCACCTTTTCTCTAATAAATCACAAACAATTTATAAAGTATTTCCTCTTAAACACATTTATCTGGATACAAGCTGTGCCGTCGTCACATTCTCTTTTTTTATGAAGTTGTGACGTCATCGATCAACGTTATTGAAACCCTCTGACAAAAATCAATAATTTAACCTTATGATGAAAAAAAGAATGCTTTAATTATGATTATAACTCAAGAATACTTTAATATGATTTTTTAAGTTTTCCTTTTTATTTTCAAGAGCTGAAATCGTTCTTGAAATGGGCATACTATTTTGCTTTTTCTGAATGTTTTATCACCCAAGTGTAAAGAGTTATCGTTCTTTGTACAAATATGCAAAAATATGATAAGAAAAAATAAAAATATGGCAGTCATCTTCAATTTTTAAAAAAGTTTTATTATACAATTAAATTCATTGACCAAAATTAAATTTTTAAACAAATAAATTAGCAATTTTAAATTGTTCTGAATTTCTATTTTTCCAAAAAAATATTATTAAACACTTATTTTTATTCCTTTTATGAAACATTTCATATATATACTTCTCAACACATCATTCAAGTGTAGTAGAGCTTGTACTACACAAGAGTGAATGAGCAATTGCACTCATAGCAGAAGCAGTTGCGTCTATAGTCCTATGAATGCAATTGATGGATACATGTTCATAGTGGGAGAGAACAGTGGATATGCAAATATTAATAATTATGATAAGCAATGGTGCCTTCTTTAAAATTGTGAATTTCATGGTCTTTGGTTTAAAACACGAATCATATTCAATTGTTGAAAAGTTGTTACATGATACTCAGGTGACCTATAAGGTCCGTGGGCTCTTGTTTAAAAAACAAAGTTTTACTTTCAAAAATTCTACACAAAGGAATTTTGAATATAATGCATGCACAATATGATGATAAAAGTGAAAAGTATGTCAAGGGTAGTTGAAGTTAAGTACGTTTTAGACGACCTATACATGTATAGGTGTTATACTTAAAATAAATATTATGGTTAATTAATTTAGAAAATAATGATTAAAGTCCTCAAAGATAACAAATATTATGAGAATTAAATTAAATTTCACCCATTTTAGTTTATCATAAAAGAGAAAACTGTATTTCTTTTAATGTTGTTTTCGTATGTGCTTTATTACAACCTAGAGCTCTGTACTTCTTTTTTTCACATATGTGACGCGCCAAGCAAACACCTCCCTTAACGAAGAATTTTGACATTTTCAGTTCTTTATTGATTCTTGTAGAGTTTTTCTTTCTCTTTCGTTTGATGTATAACATGACATCTATTTCTGTACATAAATGTATAAAAAATCGCATGACAAAGACGGAATATTTACTTTGACGTACAGTGTACGCGTGCGTAACTGCATGAATTTTCATAACGTAAAATCGTAAAATGACGTAAAGCTTCATAATAATTTGATGATATTTATTATTATTAAATTTTTGATTTGATTTCCTTAAAAGTATCAACAATTAAGGATTTTTTTAATCGTAATAATAGAAAATAAACATTCTAAAGTATATCTCTGAGAAACGAATGACGGGGGTGGGGGGTGGGGGGGGGGGACCGAAATGATCGTCAAGGGACAAAACTCAAGACAAAATCAAAAAATCTTCTCTTCTTCTGGGAGATCTTCCAATTTATGGCTTTTTAATGCAGTAAAATGGCAGAAATCTACATCACTGCAATAGTAAAAGAAAATTAGCAACATTTGGATAAAAAAAATACTATTGCGGTAGTACAAACAACACACGTACGGCTTCCTACTAGCTTAGGCTAGTGGGATAACCCTTAAGCTTATTCGGTAAAGCACAGTGGCCTCGGGTTCGATCCCAATTAAGCAGAGGCACGTAATTTTCTCCGTTACACTATCAAAGTAATTATCTTTAAAAAAGAAGTTCGAGACAGTCCTTGCTCCCCCCCCCCCCCGGGTCATTAAAAGTCTATACAATATACGAATAGATAAAAAGTATTGTCATAATACCTGAAATTTCTTAAAGAGTGCGACAGTTTTTTTTCTATCCAAAGGAAAAATAACATTTCTTTTAACACAAGTTAACTATTTACATGTTTTAGTTTCAAATGTTTTAATACTGAAGATTTCTTGGCTTATTGAAAAGATATTCTGCACCCCAGAAAAATTGTATTTGTCTCTTGTAGTAGAGTTTGATCCTTTTCTTCTAAATATATTTATTTTCAATAATTTAAACATAAATATAAAATAGGAAACGGAAGGCCAGGAAAAATGAATCATATGTTAAAAATTACCAAGAAATAATGATTGAACACTTTAAAATTTGATGCACCTAATCTTCATTGATTTGATTTAATCATGCATTTATTGAATTACATGTATACAAACGCATTAGAAACAAGTTTGACAACTTTCAAGTTCTTCTTGTGAATGAAAGACTGATTTCATAACGACACCGAAGAAGAAAAGCGTCTGCATGCATACTTTTCAGTGAATCAGAATGTAACATCCATCCCCACCCAATAAAATATATGTATTTTTAAATCTTGTTAAATAAAAAACAAATCTGCAATTTATATGTATGAAGTTAATCATGAATTAATTTTGAACTGATCATTGTATATAAGCCGAATAATAAACCACAATACCAGAATATAAATTTTATTTATGAATCCCACAAGTGACACGTACACTCCACAACTATGAATAGAATATAAGGCTTATACCAAGCTTCACTGTTCCCTTCCTGAGAAAGTATATGCACACATCATCTTAAATGCTAGTTACATTTTAGTATTTGTTAAAACACGCATGTTAAAAATAGCAACAGAAAGTGAGAGAACGGGTAAAACATTTGAACATGTAATATTCTTCGATCATCGTAAACGGGAGGGGGGAATGTCTCAGATATGGACATTCACGCTTAGTTGATTATCTGAATTAATTAAACAAGAACAAGGCACACATGTACAATCTTAAGCTGTAACTTTTGTTATTTTTTAAAAAATAATTACCGGGGGGGTAATTGTTGTAATTTATACATTTTTTTTATAAACGAGAAGATGTACATATATGAATGGGTTAGTTGATCAAGCACGCAATATTCAAGCCGACCAACATGTATTTTTTATGTTCGATAAATCCTTTATCATAGAATATAGAGCGATATGATCATTGACTTAAGTATAATAGATTCAGATACATGTATTTATATCCTCCTACTTCCATATATCTTGAACAAATATAGGCATATTACCACGGATTAATATATTTTGCATAAGAATCGGAACCCAGGGAGGGGGTTGGGGTTGGAGCGGATTAGCCCCCCTTTTTTTCCTAAAGATATACTTAGTATAGACATTCGACATTGCTGCATAGGCTTAGCCCCCCACCCCACTTCCATAGACATGTTGCAATATAGGCTTAAAATGGGGAAAGTGGTGTGTTTGGAAAAAAAGGTTTAGAGTTCGAACCTACCCCCCCCCCCCCCCCCCCCCCCCCCACACACACACACACACACTCATTTCCTTTTTTTCTTGCTTGTCAGGTCTTTTTGAAGGTTTAAACATTCCTTATACCTACCCCCCCTCCCCCCTCCCCACTTTCAATTTGCTTCCGATGCCAATGTTTGAGCAGATTTGTACCGTACTAATTTTGCATTAAACAGCCAATACATGTACATGTTCAATGCAACTTTTGCAGGAAAATTTATTAACATTGTAAAAGTTTGTTACATATTTACATTTAATAAATTACGTGTAATTGGTAGCAAATTTTAATAATTTGAAACGCATATACATATTCATTTAATTGCGATTCAACAGAGGGAAACAAGATTATTATTTTCCAAGGTAGATGTTAAATCGTGAAATGTTGGTAGTAAAGTCTTTGTCGTGGAAATAATTACTGCAGGTTAAATTATCCTTAATACTAAAGGTTAAAATAAAATCATTAAAAAGAAAGTCTTTAACCTCTTAAACGTTTAATTTATACTCTCATACTGCACTGATGTTCTAAAAAAGGCTGAATGTGATGAGCACCGGAGACGTTACTACATGTACATGCAACAGCCTGATTCAGCGATTTTATACATGACCAAAATTAATCATGTTGTTTTCAGGAATCCAGAATCTTTGTACATGTAGATAAACCATGCACAAAATGATAATAGGTTGGAATGTTTTAAAACTGTTCAAACAAATTGTATGAATTTGTAACAATTTGCATTAATTATACATTTGTAACATTTTAGTGATGTATCATGTTTGCCATTTTTACATTCGGTGTATTGTGTATAACCTCATCAAACAGATTATGAAAAGGTCGATAAACATATGTTCAATCTGTTTAATTCTCAATCATGAAATATTTTAGATAGTGGGACTGTAACTTACAATGTATGCGAGCATCCGTAAATTCAAGACGAAATTAGCACAACTGAAGTATCCAAAGAAATAAAGCAGACACGCGACACAGAAGAAAGGGGGGGGGATTTTTTCTACATTTTTTGTACAACATGAGAAGGTGGTCAACAATAGAATAAATTGAGTGGCTCTTAAGGTCTTTCTTCAAAATATTCATTTTAAATCGACAGCTAAAACTAATTCCGGAAGAAGTGTCCAAATCAAATACTCTGTGTCGTATCTAAAGAGAATACTTTTTTAAAAAACTAAACTTAACTATTTATCAATAACAGTTCACGTTTTATTTATATAAACGGCAGCGTTAACTGTCCCAACCCAGTTTACAACGTTTAGATTGGGTTAAATTCATTTTATGAGTAAAAGAGAAGTAATTCAGGTCAATTTTCATTGCATCGCTATTCAAATAAAAATACCTTAGTTTAATGCCCTTGTTAAATTGCATGTGCATTACGATGAAACAGCTGAACATTAAACTAAAAAAAACTATTTTTAAAAACTTGACAATGTTTGTTTGACCTTTTAAAATGAACCGACTAAAATCTTTTTAAAACTTCCAAATTATTCATTCTGGGATTTTCTCATCCTATCAACAACTTTAATACCTTCAATCTTTTCCAACAGTGAAAATTTCCGACAAAAAAAAAATTCGACCTACCTACCAATGTAATTTTTTAACCAGAATAGGGCAAACAAACTTCATTTTAAAAACGGACTTACGGGAAATTTTCAGCCACCACTAGAAATCTTTAAAAAATACACACTTAATTGTGAAAAGGAGATATCACACAGCCACTTGACGGAGAATTAATTTTTAATAAATAAACTACATCTAATTACACCCAAGAATCTGTCTTAGTGTATAAATAAAACAACATCCCCCTGTTCTATTGCGGAGAGTTTCTCTCAAGGAGATGTTTTTACGTCGCATTTACCTTGTTGACTTTCGACGCGTCTTTTGACGTTACGTCATAATAGACATAAGGGAGGTTTTTGCTTGGCGCGTCACATATGTTCTGTTAAGCTGTAGTCCACAAGTGACAGTTTTCACGGTGTAAACATGTAAGCTAACTATTCCTTATCTCCACACATTATATTCAGTCATTTAATTTCAGTACAAATGATTTAAAATACAAAATTTAATATGGAATGAACATGATTAAGGTATTGTATATGTATAACGGTCATATTTTGTACCTTATAAATAAATTGTCCTTTATCTAATCACGGAATCATTTTGAAGGTGTTGTCAAACAAAAATACTCCACCACAGAATGTCAGTAGTGTCGAATTGTTAGCTCCTTAAGATTGGTTTTGGGCAGTGTTCTTCGGATGTTGTTAAAAATAATTCGAGCTTTATAGAAATATTTTGGTGAAAATATACATAAACTCTCTTTATATGAAAATATGAAATAACATGAAGCAGTATACATGATATTTTGACAAAGTTATTTTTTTAAAATCTTTTTTGAATCTTTAAAAGAGATTACACTGTACAGAGCAAGATGACCGGCTTCTTGAAGTTATCAATCATGTGAATTCGATTCATTTTCATCTTTATCTAGCACATGAATACATATTTAAGTGGCTGAAAAATTTCAAAATTGTTCAATATCCCCACATTATACATTGAATTCCTTTATAACATTTTAAAGACAAAGAGATTGAAATATATATGAAATGGAGCTTTTTAAATAGCTTTATTAAACAAATCTTATACATGCATGAAATTTTTAAATTTTGCCTATTTGTTTCCTGTTTTGGGACATTGGGACAGAAGGTTTTGTTTAAACAAGGACTCCCAACTTATCATCGATATTATTTTTATTACTTTAAAACATTTAAATTTTCATTTTATGCTACTATTGCATATTTAACAATAATATTTAATTATACAATTAGGGATATACGACTTCATTTCCTGTGTAACTATGCAAGGTTTTGTCCATTCTTGTCCTCAAAACCTTACAGAAGCTATAAAGGCCTCTACAAGGCTTGGCTGTGGTCGTGACAAGTATGGTAATGATCAGTATATATGTCTCCCTAACATCGAGAAGACTGGTCTGGTAGAATTCTGTCACAATGGAATCATGGGAATAATTCAAAGAGGTGAGTAACAAAGAGTTTTTTTGGGTCAAAGATCAAAGATTTTGTAATTAATTTATTCAAAAGTCAATAACAAATGTTTAATCCGCTTACCAAACATATGTACCAAAGGTAAAAACCTAAACAAAGTGAAACATAAAACGTCTATATCTTCTTCTTAAACTAAAAACTGTTTTATCCATGTTATTATCCTTGAAAAAATCGGTCATTTATTTTAAGGAAACTGTTTGGAGACGACTGAGGGTAAACTGTTTCCACATGACTGCTCAGGGTTTATAGAAGGCTGTCCAGATGATCCTTACCGGAGCAATGAGAATTACAATTGTAAGAGCAACTGTTACAATGACTTTATCTGTGTATTTTATTTTACTAAAAAGACTAACAATAAAGGAAGCTCTTAACACGTACTAACAGAAACTGTTTTTTGGACTCAGCGAAAAATATATCATATGAAGATATGCATATTGAGACTTTTTCATTCATTCAGAACATAGGGTACGTGCCTTATGTGCGCAGTAGAAATGTTCAAAGGCAGTGGACAATTCGTGAGCAGAAATCATTGTTGTTTACTTACATTGGGAAGATTAATGAAAATAATGAATTAAATTTCTTCTTCTTGGTCTTTAATATAATAATATATTTTAATGTATCGTAAATTATATAATTAACGGTAAATTTTAATTTCTTTAATCTTACATCTTAGGGCAGATCACTCTAACTGCATAAAACTACCCAGTAAATACAGCTCTTTAGTGTGCAGTGTTTAGAGCATCCTTAACCACTTTACGGATATTTAATCTTCATATTTTTTTGTTTAGATCCTGCATGTCAACAAATCAACACACAAGATCACTGCTATCTTGCTGATGCTTCCTGTTCAGTAACGTAAGTAAAGGGAATACATGAAAAAAGCAAACAAACTCTTACATGTATGTATGAAGTGATTATTATATGATCATTTAATAAACATTTTTAAACAGAACATGCAAAGAATACCTTTCACATATCAGTTTATATAACTGGAATTAACGTAGACCATGACGTTTACAGCACTACGACAAAACTTAATCAAACAGCCACAATCCAGGAGTATGAAACTGCAGATATTGGTGCAATAGTAGGAGGGCTGTGTGCTGGAGTGATTGTTCTCATCGTTCTGCTGTTCTTAGGGGTTCATTTCTGGAGAAGAAAACAAAGATGTATAAATAAAACAACAGAACCAAATCCAGGTAAATGTGGCTTTATTTGAGTTATGAATGTATAATAATTTTAATATCATAATTGACTTTATTTTATGATTAAATAATTTCTTTATTTCTGATTGGCTTAGATCCAACCATTGATCTAAAAATAGATTGGTAAATTCCAAATTGATACAAATTGTTTTGGAAAGCTATTTAAACCTCTGTGACTTTTTCTCATGCAAACAAAACAGAAGCGAATATATATTTTCGGTGAGGGTGGTTAGAAGGGATACAGGGACCCCCTCCAACACTTTCACTGAACAATAATGTTTACTTTTTTTGGCTGTTAGTTTTCCCTGATAATACTCATTCCTTTAAAAAAAGGACTGACATATCTTGTTTCATGGCGACTAAAATAGATTGATTGATTGTATACTGTTTAACGTCCCTCTCCATAATATTTCACTGATATGGAGACGTCACCATTGCCGGTGAAGGCTGCAAATTTAGGCCTTTGCTTGGCACTTACGGCCCTTGAGCAGGGAGGGATCTTTATCGTGCCACACCTGCTGTAACACGGGGCCTCGGTTTATACGGTCTCATCCGAAAGACCGCCCCATTTTGTCGCCTATTACGACAAGCAAGGGGATACTGAGGACCTATTCTAACCTGGATCCCCACGGGATGACTAAAATAGATAAAACATTTCAAATTGATACAACTGGTATAAGGCTTATTTACATTTTAATTCTCTTTCATTTGGCGAGGATTTAATGAAATGTAAACAAGTAATGAGCTGTATCATTTTAATCAGTGAATCATATAATTAAACAATTGCTGCTGTTTTTCGGTCTATATAATGATTTAGCAATCTTGGAAGTACAATATTCATCTTGCATTCGGGCTCGGTGAATATTGTACTTCTCAGATGGCTACAGTAATAACTGTATATTTTAGGACAATTCAATGATTAAATCACCTCCAAAGTATAATATTCACCGAGTCCTACTGGTTTTATAATACAATTTATGATGAAGATTTTGTAAATAAAATACAGCCACTAAAACCAACACACCAAGCTACTAATCTTTTGATGATTCCATGAGCCTGAAATTTATATTCACCTGAATGAAGTCGGTTTGAAGTGAAATGTTTTTCAAAAATAATTTTATATTAATTTGAAGTTTCCCGATCTATTTTTGGTCCAATACAGAAAAAAATAAATCCTTATGTTCACGTATAAGGTACTGTAAACAAACTTTTATTCGCGTGCGAGAATTTTTCGTTAAGTTCGCGAGAGCCTCGTCATCGTGAATATTTCTCGCCTCGAACCGATTCTTAAAGTCTATGTGTCTATAAAAAAGAAACCTTTATAGGCTCTTTTGCGAAAATTAATCGTTGCGAACAAGTTTACCCTGGCAAATCGCGAAATTAAGTCGTCGCGAATAAAAGTTGGTTTACAGCAACTTGCAGATAAACATAAGTCATTACATAGTATTTTTTTAAGTAGATGTGTGATCTCAGCCGGGGAGAGGACTAGGTGTTATCAATTTTATGATATCATTTGGTGTTGATATTGGACAAAACATATACTCAGTAATTATTAGAAAAGATAAATGATTTGTTAAATTATATGATTTTGTTTAATGTTTCTCTCTCTTTTATCCACCTATTCACAAAAATACAATGAGTGGTCATATACTTTGAAATCTTACGTGAACGAAATAAAGATATTTGGTTATCTTGATATTGTTTATTAGAAAAAAAATATGAAAGATGTTGGACAATTTTTTTTTTATTTTTAGGATTTAAGAACCAAAACGCACATATATGTATATGGATGGTTGACTTTATTATGGTCTTATTACAAAAAGGAATTAAAAATGTCTTGAATTATTTTTGTCGAATTTATGTAGACAGTTAAAATACTAGTAACTACCAGGAAGGATATAAATTTTTTTTTACATTGTTATGAATATTTTATTATAATACTTTTCTAAAATATCTATCTCAGAGATGGCTTATTTTGTGGAGAAAAAAGAAAGCAGCTCTGAATGTGATTCGCATAGAAGACTTAAATGTAGCCATTTGTCCTTAAAAATAAATATTTCATTTTAGCAAGAAATTATTTAAATACATATAGAAATACAAGGGTAACCTCAAAAGCAGCGATATTCAATATTTGCGATCTTAATACTTACGTTTGAAATGCCAATATTGATTCATCGCTAAAATTTCTATTTGTAACGTACAAATGTCCATCCAAGATAATTTCACTTATAACTTAAGATAACAGATTAGGAATGTATAATATATGTGTAGAGTGCTATTGGTTTATTTACACTTGTTACCTTTTATACCTTGTAGACAAAATATCAACAGACAAGAATGACGGTCATAGCAGTGTAGATCCCAGTAAAAGTGATGAAGATGACAGTAAGAACAAAACTTAACTCATATATTTTTTCACATATCCAAGGATGAAACATATAGAGATAACAAACAGTATTCAAGATCAAAAGTATACAAAACAATACAAAATAGAAGCAGAGCAATCACAGACCTTCAAAACATTGACGGTTGGATCAGATGCTATGGAGAAGTTAGCATTCCCTGTCAGCAAGTTACACCCGCCGTGTGCTCCTTGGCATGATCAGGAAATAACGGAAAAACCCGTTGTCAATTCAGTGTACAAATCATAAACTAACAATAAGTATGAAAAAACCTCAGTCAGCAGTTGACTCAATGATAATTTGTATTTGCTGGCAAGGTCATCGTATCGACCATAGAACTTATGAAATGATGACTTTAAACGAAACAGTTAAAATTCTTGACTTTTTGGTCCATGATTTACCTCGTTTTTACAAATTGTTCATACGTAGTGCTTTCTCTTGTGTATCGGATCAACTGATATATATATATATATATATAAACTTGGTATACTAGCGATGAAGGTATATTGCTGCATAAGTAAGGAAATTTGACGACAGATTATCTTCAAGTTGATATTGTTTATTAGAAAAAAAAATATGAAAGATGTTGGACAATTTCTTTTTTTTTATTTTTAGGATTTAAGAATAAAAACGCACATATATGTATATGGATGGTTGACTTTATTATGGTCTTATTACAAAAAGGAATTAAAGATGTCTTGAATTATTTTTGTCGAATTTATGTAGACAGTTAAAATACTAGTAACTACCAGGAAGGATATAATTTTTTTTTTACATTGTTATGAATATTTTATTATAATACTTTTCTAAAATATCTATCTCAGAGATGGCTTATTTTGTGGAGAAAAAAGAAAGCAGCTCTGAATGTGATTCGCATAGAAGACTTAAATGTAGCCATTTGTCCTTAAAAATAAATATTTCATTTTAGCAAGAAATTATTTAAATACATATAGAAATACAAGGGTAACCTCCAAAGCAGCGATATTCAATATTTGCGATCTTAATACTTACGTTTGAAATGCCAATATTGATTCATCGCTAAAATTTCTATTTGTAACGTACAAATGTCCATCCAAGATAATTTCACTTATAACTTAAGATAACAGATTAGGAATGTATAATATATGTGTAGAGTGCTATTGGTTTATTTACACTTGTTACCTTTTATACCTTGTAGACAAAATATCAACAGACAAGGATGACAGTCATAGCAGTGTAGATCCCAGTAAAAGTGATGAAGATGACAGTAAGAACAAAACTTAACTCATATATTTTTTCACATATCCAAGGATGAAACATATAGAGATAACAAACAGTATTCAAGATCAAAAGTGCTTAAAACAATACAAAATAGGAGCAGAGCAAACACTGACCTCCAAAACATCGGACATGGGATCAGATGCCATGGAGGAGTTAGCATCCCCTGTCAGCAAGTCACACCCGCCGTGTGCTCCTTGGCATGATCAGGAAATAACGGAAAAACCCGTTGTCAATTCAGTGTACAAATCATAAACTAACAATAAGTATGAAAAAACGTCAGTCAGCAGTTGACTCAATGATAAATTGTATTTGCTGGCAAGGTCATCGTATCGACCATAGAACTTATGAAATGATGACTTTAAACGAAACAGTTAAAATTCTTGACTTTTTGGTCCATGATTTACCTCGTTTTTACAAATTGTTTATACGTAGTGCTTTCTCTTGTGTATCGAATCAACTGATATATATATATATATATAAACTTGGTATACTAGCGATGAAGGTATATTGCTGCATAAGTAAGGAAATTTGACGACAGATTATCTTGATATTGTTTATTAGAAAAAAAATATGAAAGATGTTGGACAATTTTTTTTTTTATTTTTAGGATTTAAGAACCAAAACGCACATATATGTATATGGATGGTTGACTTTATTATGGTCTTATTAAAAAAAGGAATTAAAAATGTCTTGAATTATTTTTGTCGAATTTATGTAGACAGTTAAAATACTAGTAACTACGAAAGCCTACAAGGGTCAAATTAGAAAATGAAGAAAAAAAAGTCAAGTCGTAATAACGACTTTTTATCTCGTTATTACGACTTTTTATCTCGTAATAACGACTTTTTATCTCGTCATAACGACTTTCTTAAGTCGTAATAACGACTTTTTATCTCGTAATAACGACTTTTTATCTCGTTATTACGACTTTTTATCTCGTAATAACGAGTTTCTTAAGTCGTAATAATGACTTTTTATCTCGTAATAACGACTTTTTATCTCGTTATTACGAATTAGGAAAGTCGTAATAACGACTTTTTATCTCTTTATTACGACTTTTTATCTCGTAATAACGACTTTCTTAAGTCGTAATAACGACTTTTTTTAGTCAGATTATTTTCAATGGTTTGCTATTTTCGACCTTTAAGTTAATAATAAACATTGAAATTGTCATTGTTAATTGACAATAATACGTCGTCGATATATCTAAATGTCGGATTGAACTCCACAGCAATTATTTTCTTCTTTAAACGCATAAGATGTTGCACAAACTCTGCATCATATGAATACAAAAAGTAGGTCTGCTAATAACGAGGCACATTTTGTATTGGGAATTCCAATAAATTGTTGGTAGACCTGGTCTCCAAAAACAACATAGATATTGCCAATCTTTCAAAATCTTTTTTTAAGAACAGCAAAGCCATGATCGGCCATAGTTATATGAAAGCATCTGCTGGTAGTGTAGATTCAAGTTTGTTCATATCATGACCCCTAAGGGTAGGGCGGAGCCAAAATGTTGTACCAAGGTTTGACATAGCAATCAATGAATTTTTTTTAAAGAACATTCGTCTCAAGAACAGCAAAGCCATAGTAATATGACACTATCTTCAGGTAGTGTAAATTCAAGTTGTTCAAATCATAATCCCTGGGGGAGGGGTGGGCCAAAATGGGCGATCAAAGTTTTCAGAAGTAAAACGTAGAAAAGAAATCAAATTTGTTCAAATCATGATCCCCGGGGGATGGATTGGGGCCACAATTGGGTATCAAGGTCTTATGTAGGAATGCACAGGATAAATCATTAAACTTCTTTTGAAGAACAGCGAAGCCATGATTGATAATTATGACCCCCCTCCAAACCCAACTTTAAATACTGAACTGAATTTTGCTTTTTCCTAGCTAGTTGCTCAGGTGAGCGATGTATTCCCTGGGATTCTTGTTGATAAACTAGCGACGATTTTCTTTTCATTGATTCATTTTAACAACACGATTCAAGCAATATTCTTCAAGTACTAGATATCACTTTCAATAGTTTATTTACCTCCCCGTGTTAAACGTTGAATACTTTATTTATGTAAGGACCCTCTCTTCACTGCACCCTAATTTCAGGGTACTTTCGTGTAGTTAGACTGACCCACCATTTGACATAAAACACGCATTCTCAATTTATAGTCACAAATCGATCTTGGGAAAAGTCAAAAAAATTAGTGAACTGAAATTAACACTTTTATACGTCATTTGAAACATGAAAGTGTATAGTTATTAAAAATCGCAATTTGATTTACATACTTCATGCATTGTTTTGTTGGCCTCCTTCGAAATAAAAGCGGTTGGAGGGCTAATTTTACACCAAGATATTTACGTGATGTTGAAAAGCCATATTTGGAAACGAAAGACTTTTTTTTTAAATACAAAATTAATATAATACACATCAAATTTTGTTAACTATTAACAGTTATGAAACGTTTAAGCACATTTGTAAAAGGGGTGTACAATCTTTGATTCAATTATTAGTAAAAATAAAACGGACATAATTTTCATTTAAATGTAATTATTTTCTTTTTATTTTAACAAGTTTTAGAACATTCGATGATAAGCTTAATAATCATAATATTCCCTAAAATGCTACATTAATTGATTCTTTATTAATCTGCTCAGAGAAACGCACATTATTTAGAATATAAAAAGGTTAAATATTTCGCCATTACCTGATTAGGAAGTGTTTGTTAAATATCACGTAAATATCGCACATAGATATCATACAAAAATAAAAGTATATTCAGGGGAAAAATGATTATATTATTTCAAATTATTGAATTTTATGAATTTTCTAAATTGTGTTATTACAAAGGGTTGAATTGAAAATTCAAGTTATAAATGATTTATCTATAGAGGACTCATGTAATTCATAACACCCCACCCCACCCCACCCCTTCCACCATTTAATCTGTTGATTATTTCAAATACAGTCATTCACATAGCATCGTTTTTGAAAGTGTATGTGTGTGGAGGGGGAGGGGGGTAGCCAGAGAATTTTTTTTACTTACCTGGAAAGTTGACAAGGCAAAAAAAAGGGGGGCGGGTTGAGAAAACTTGCTCAAAGTTGAAAATCCTAGAGGGGGGAGGCGAACTTTTTTCAGTGCAACTACATTCAGTACCAATTATTACAATATATTTTCCGTACATCACTATTAGTGGGGGAGGGGGCAACCAGCCTTTCACTGAACATTTACTGAAGTTGAAGTAAGGCTGGAGAAAAAAGGGGGGCAGGGTGGGACTGCCCCCCCCCCCCTTGTTGCTACATACCAGAAATGCTTAATTGATCGTCAAATCTCAAAAATAAAACAAAGATCGCCCACCACCCTTAAAAAGTTTGTCAATAATTACAGTTGCACATCACATGTGCTCTATAGAGCAATATACATTCTACGTTCATATAATTGAATTTTCAGTACCATTAAAGCATAGACGCATACCTCCTAAGTCATATGTCTATGCAACAATGCAAATGGGAAAAATTAGGTGCAAATTTTATACATGTTGATAAATGTATTTCTTGCAAAGCAACAGAAATGGAAATGGATTCAATTTCAAGCAGTATCTTGACACACAACACCCACAGCCGTCTTTCTTTTTTTACCCAATGTAGACCCCCCCCCCCCCCCCACTGCATGCAACGCAGCGCCTATTTTCTGGAATTATATTTCCTACAAAAATGATATTTTTTTCTTCAAAATATTTAGCTTGGTATACAATTCAAGTGTATATAACCATTTTTTAAAGTTGACGATCACTATCAGTTCAAACAAATAGCAAAATACAGACTTGAAGAAAGTTTTGTTTCAGATTTACGTTCCGAATGATAACGTGCATTACACTTGAAACTATGCAATATTAACCAATTGCTCAAAATGGAAAGATTCAATCATTAAACCACGATTCTACTTGTGAATAATATTATGTCAATTCAATTTTCAAATCACACGGATGCACAAGATATTGAGTAAAAATGTTCATCTTTGCATGTGCACATCCATTTGCATTTCTGCACTCTTGTTACAGAAAAAAATGACATTTTAAGAAACAGTATATATATTTCTTCATGTTCTTAAGTATTTACATCATAAAGATTCACTCGCAAATCTGTTCAAACAGCTTTAGAAATTAATACTTATTTACTTTAAAACATGGTAACATAAATATCGGTAACGTAAATATCGGTAACGTAAATATCTTTCTGAGATTTATCGTAACTTTTAATGCCATTGTTCAATTATTCCACTGTTAATTAAAGGCATATTCTAGTGCTTGAGTGTAAGGCAATTTGACCCATAGGGGACAGTGTAGTTCTCTTACTTAATTTGTGAATATATACTAACACGTAAATATCGTTGATTTTTTTAACCATTGGACTTATAAGAAAAGGGGGGCTATTGTTCATAAACACAGATAAACAGTGTCTTTTTTTACCTTTCCATGCAATAGAAAGGGTGCTCATGATGTTAAAAAGTTACAACTTAGTCCTATTGAGTTAGTTCATCATTCCTTCCAGTCCTTTTGAATTTCCAAATAGCAAAGTAATAATTTTGCGGTGACATCAAAATTTGATAAATATATTAACATTTTTAAAAATCTGTGACACGCATATGTGTGAAGGGTGTGATATTCAGAAAATATAACTCAAATGTAGGACAATCTTACTAAGAAAAAGATATGTTAATGATTTAAAATTCTTTTTGGTTTAAAATAAAAACTACATGATGATCGGCGACAGTAACGTAAATATCGATTTCTGCTATAAAATGTGATTTTCTCCAAAGACAACCATTCAAGCTACAACAAACAATTGTTGTATTTTAATCAACAACCAACAAAGGTTCGTAAGACTGGCAGAAAAATAAAATTTATTTGAAATATTATATTACTTAAAACGCGGTACATTATTTAAAGCGAATTGAGACTATAAATTGAGAATGCGTGAAAAAAGAAAAAAATGTAATATGCAC